AGCTCCAGCTCGATTGCGCAGAATAATTTTCGACGTTATACAATACAACCCTAAAGTGGTTTATAAAAAAGGTCAGGAAATACCCATAGCTGACACCCTTAGTCGTGATTGTAATCACGACCCCACCGAAACTCTCGAAAATGAAACGTTAGAAGTGATGATCGTCGTGTCAATGTCTAAGAAAGCCACAGTAGAGCTTACGGAAGCAACAGCCGAGGATGAAGAACTGCAGCTTTTAATTAAATACATCTTACAAGGCTTCCCTGACGAAAGTGGTAAGCTTCCAGCGGGAGTTAGACACTACTATAACTTTAGGGAGGAACTAGCTTACCACAACGGCATCGTATTTAAAAGCGATAAAATTATAGTACCGCAGAAATTAATTTCAAAAATGCTGAAAGCAATACACACAGGACATTTTGGTATACAAAGTTGTCTCAAAAGAGCAAGACAAGGACTTTATTGGAAAGGTCAGTACAGTGATATTCTAGAAATGGTTAAAAGCTGTCCGGTCTGTGAAAAAACACAAAGAGCTAAAGATAAGGAAGAGGTTTTAATAAGAGAAATACCCACCCTTCCGTGGCAAATAGTAGCATCAGACATATTGTATTTCAAAAATGATCCGTATCTAGTAATTACAGACAGTTATTCAAACTACACTGACTTGAAAAAACTTACAAATCAAACTTCACAAGAAATAATAGAGCACCTCAAAAATTGGTTCTATGTCCACGGAGTTCCAGAAATATTTGAAAACGATAACGACACATCATACGAAAGCAAAGAATTTGAAGATTTTGCAACAACCTGGTGTTTTAGTCATCGCACGTCCAGTCCGCTACATTCAGGCAACGGATTAGCAGAACGAGCAGTTCAGTTGGTAAAAAATATATTGCGAAAGTGTAGCCTCGACAATACAGACTATCGGCTAGCACTACTCAACTGGAATAATACTCCTAGAGATCCAATCTTAGGTTCCCCAAACCAAAAACTATGCAGTAGAATCACGCGTTCACAAGTTCCAACCTCAAATCAAAATCTTCAGCCTAAGACAATAGAGGGTGTTGCGAATAGATTAAAGATTTTAAGAGAAGAACAAACGTCATATGCTAATAGAAGCACAGTGAAAGCTGAAAACATAAGCACATACGAATGAAAACGGCACACAGAGATTGATCAACTGGTAAAATAGTAAAAAATCACGAAAATAATCCAAGATCGGTTTTAGTTCAATTGGATGACGGCCGCATATTCAGGAGGAATACATCTTGGGTACGCAAAACAGATGCTAAACTGCCTATCCCAGAAAAAGTAATAGTACCTCACACAACTACGGAAATGTGCCAAGCCTCACCAACTAATCGCGAAGCAACATTCGACCAGCCTCAAGCAACACCATCTTCTCAGCAAAGGCCAAGAATCGACTTGGAAACTACAGGAAAAGCTATCAATCCGACAGTAACTCTGCCTGTAAAAGCAGCTCAGCCTCCTTTGCAACTCTCCACAAGATCAGGGAGAATCGTGAAGCCACCATTGAGATTGAACTTGTAATCGTAAATATTACTTAATATTAAACCTAGAACTGAATAGTAAAATACTGAACTCAATACTGAATTTACAAAGATGAATTAACTGTAAAACTCAAATTTAGTTTTCGCCAATGCAATCAAAAATGTTCATTGTCTCTATTATTAATTTAATTTAATTAATTAAATTACTGATTACATACATAAATTAAACACTTAGATTTTTTATAAAAAAAGAGGGATGTAACGTAAAGTCCACTCATGTGATGTATGAGTACGCAGAAATCAATAGTATAGTGTATGGTGACACTAATGTAATTATCGATAATAACTCACAACCACTGAAGTAAAACAGAATATAGACAATATACCATTTTCTTGAGCATAACGTGTGGTCTTTTTATTAAACCGATCTTACATTAGTGCACAGATTTAGTAAATTAAATTTTTGTAATAAAGCGTGAACTGTTGTCTACAAGTGTGTGTAAAAGTTTTTTGATTCGATTCACGCGTTTGGGCACAGCAACCCAAATCGTTGTACAAATTCATAAGCAGTACCCAAAGGAATGAACTAATCGCTTTCAACAAAGTTGGTCGCCAGCCAACATTTAGCAACTCCACTTTTTTTCCGTGCAACCCTGCGTGAGTTGAACGCAAAAGTTGAACGGAAAATCGCCGCGTGCGATCACCTTTTAAGTTTGGCATACCTGTAGCGCCAGCTGTTTGCCAGATACTTCTGTATGTGCATGTATGTGTGGAAGAAGTGGACCAAACATAAGTAAATCGTACATCTATGTTAGCAGAGTGTATATGTATGTGGGTACGTGGATCGAACATACGTGCATAGGTAGTGTGATCAAACATCTATGTTGACCAAATGTGCCTGTAGGCGGTCATGGATGTTTGATCGAACACAGTTGGTCAAACGTTAATGATATGGTACTCAGAGAAATTTCGGAGTGCTCGGTAAAACGAAAGTTAAGGGAGTGTGGGTGTGTGATTGTTCCAAACAGCGGTTTTTCTTTTTAGTTTTCTTTATACATATGTAAGAACATAAGTACATAACACGGATCGAGTCAGTTAGCCTGGCATAAAGGTATAAAAAGACCCGGTTGGCGACGAACGGGTCAGATACAAAAGTTACGGTGCTAATGTGGTGATGATCAGTGGTTTTGCAGTGCAAACGTTTTTTGTACTTATCAAAAAAATAAAAAAATAATAAAATAAAGGAAAAGTGTGTTAAAGTGTGCACATTTTATACATAATTCCCAGTTAACGGTGATAACTGTGTCGTTTTACCGGATTGGTGCGGTACCGGTGACCGCAGGGCCACAACGTAGTGCTATCTTTGGAACTGGAGGTAAGCAACACATATTATTATGCCCCAAATCGACATTTTTGCATATGCCTGCATGCTACCAAATGCTTATGTACGTATGTAGACAAAAGGCGAATTAACATAATAGTGACGACTAGTCAACGACCACCCAAAACAATTTGCTAAGTAAGAGATATTTTTCACTTTCAGGTCGCCTGCACTTACACATATATGTATATGTGAATAAAAGGACCTCCACTCGCCGGTCACTTGAAATAGTCACCATCGACATCCTGCCACAAAAATTGTGAGACGTCTGCATCCGCTGAATTCACCGCTGTGCAGTTACATACGCCACAGATAGTTGCAAACGCGCTAGCACACATACACACATACCAACCATAGATACAAACATACATATCCACCAGCACATAACAAGCATATACCGAGATAACCATCAACATACATCTGTACTCGCCGCAAAAGCTTCACTGCACCACGAAGATGCATCGGGGAATAAATCGCCACCCACACTTGCATTGAAATAACCGGCAAATGGCTAGAAGGTAGAAGTCTTCGACGGAGAACTTACCTAGCACGGCTTAGTCAGTGACAACAACAACGTCATCACCAGCAGCTGTGCGGAACATTGCAGTCAGAGGAGGCTAACAGCCACGGGGCAGTAGACGCTAACAGAAGTGAAATTTTGAGGGAGCATTACAGCGAGGGAGAATATCATCAGCAGTAACAGCGCAAAGAGGAGCAACGCCAACAGGAGCAGCGCCGCGGGAGCATAAGTGGCGGGCGCTACGCCTTCGCCGCTGATCAGCAGCAGCGCCGTTAGCACGGCTACTCTTTTGCATTGTTTAGTTCTTTGCTTATGTTTAAATTGCCTATTCCTAGTCTCTCTTAAATTAGCCTTTAGAGTTCGTTTGATTTTTTTGTTTTTTTGCCATTTTGCTTCGGCCACATTCCTTACTTTTAGATTCCGTTTAGTTAGTTAATTTTTACATATTTACATACCTAATTTTTTCTTATTGTTGCTTAGCTTAGACATATCCCGGGTATTTGTTTTGTAGGGCAATTCTCGGTATAGAGTAATTTGAATTCAGTACACAGTTTATTTTTCTGCCACTATTGGCCATACAAAATCCGTTTTTTTTTATTTTGGTTCACTCAGCCGATTTTCACTGCATTCAATTTTTGAATTGCTACAATTTGAGCTGACATAGGTATATATGTATGTATATTAGTGCACATACTTTTGTATGTACATATGTATACATGCATATGTAGCCATGTGCAGGTGCCCACGTATATAGCCATCTATTTAGTTTCGCGTTTTTTTTTTATTTTGGTTTAAAGAATAACACACATTAATTTCACTACCGCTCCGTTTTTCTATGAATCCCGATTATTTTTGAGTACAGTTTTTTTTTGGTGATAGCAATTAATTACTCGTGCTAAATAGTCTTGGCGCGTTGTTCTGAGACCCGCTCGATGCCCCGAACCACGAGCGAGTGACAGAGATCTCAGTAGGTAGCGACCTCAGCACCTTGGCTGTGGGAGCAAAATATGTATGTATGATCGTTTGTATGAGTAGTAGGTTTGCAAATTCCCCACAGGTTCTCGACAGCATGCTGGTACCATCATCGCTGGAGACCAAGGTGAGTACAATTTGAATTTGTTTGTTTTATGACCATATCTATGCACACGTACATAATCCATACATACATATATGTATATATACTAATACCTATTACATTGGCACATTGCATTCATTGTCCCCGCGATTTTTATTTTTTTTTTTTTTGTCGTTATTTGTCTTTGAAGTTAAAGCTGAGTTTCTCCGCGCTAATTATTAATAACATTGCCATACTCATCAATTCAACGTAGGCAATATACATATATACACATACGTACATAAGTAGGAGGTAGAGTTCACCATTAACAAAGTAACAAATAGCAAGTGAAGTTTAACTAGAGAAATAGGAGAGAAATAATAAATAGCATAAGTACACTTGTAAGTAAGATATAGCGCAGTAGGAGCTAGTTAGCATTAGGGTATACTCTTAAGCACTTATACAAAAACAAAGAAAGGAAATAATAAAGTTGTGAATTGTAGAGTTAAGATAGAAAAGAAGAAATATGAAGTGAAATTTTTTGTTTGTTTTGGGATAGGAATTCAGCTGAGCAATGGAGTGCTAGGCACAGGTTTTTGGTGTGGGTGTTGCACTTGTGCAACAGAGGGGAAGAGGGAGTGTGAAGACGCAACGACAACTGAGGTGAAATGACTGACTGATTGTTAGACGGACGTGTGTCAGGCTTAGGGGGCGTTGTAAGAAGGTGAGGAGTCACGAAAACGCCCAAGGTTTCGCGTGGAGTTCACGCAGAAGAAGGGTGGGATG